AATGGAAAGTTATTTCTCACAGTTCTGGAGGCTGGAAGTCCAAGATCAAGGCACTGGCGGGTTTGTGTCTGGTGAGGGCTACTTACTGCTTGTAAGATGGCACCCGTGCTGTATCGTCTGGAGGGGACAAATGCTGTGTCCTCACATGGTGGAAGGATGGAAGGTGGGGCTCAGCCACTCAAACCCTTTTATAAGGCACTAATCTATTCATGACTGCAGAGCCTTGTGGCCTCATTGCCTCCTAAGGGTCCCACCCCTCAATACTGTTGGCATTGGGGATTACATTTCTACATGAATTGTGGAGGGCACACAAACGTTCAAACCATAGCACTGATAGAGCAGCTGGCATCTATCCCTTAGCTGAATGCTAGTCCCCAGGGCACCAGAGTGACAGCCAGTGAGAAAATTGGGAGGCCAGGCGCAGTGGCTCACACCTGTAATCCCAGCATTTTGGGAGGCTGAGGCAGGTGGATCATCTGAGGTCAGAAGTTCCAGACCAGCCTGACCAACATGGTGAAAACTCGTCTCTACTAAAAAAAAAAAATACAAAAATTAGCCAGGTATGGTGGCATGCACCTGTAGTCCCAGCTAGTTGGGAGGTTGAGACAGGAGAATTTGCTTGAACCTGGAAGGCAGAGGTTGCAGTGAGCTGAGATTGCACCACTGCACTACAGCCTGGGAGACAGAGCGAAACTCTGTCAAAAGAGAAAGAAAGAAAAAAGAAGGAAAGAAAAGAAAGAAAGAGAGAGAGAGAGAGAGAGAGAGAGAGAGAGAGAAAGAAAATTAGGGAAATAATGTGACAAGGGTCCCTGAGAGTGTGAGATGGGATTCAAGATGGGCTTTTGTTTTATAAAGAATTCTCGGCCAGGCGCGGTGGCTCACGCCTGTAATCTCAGCACTTTGGGGAGCCAAGGTGGGTGGATCACCTGAGGTCAGGAGTTCAAGACCAGCCTGGCCAACATGGTGAAATCCTGTCCTTAAAAATAACTAAATAAATAAATAAAGAATTCTCAAGGTAGGTGACTGATTTGGAGCATCTGTGAGGTCAACTGAGGAGGGAGAATATGAATTTTGGGGTGTTTTTGGGTAGAGACAGGATCTCTCTTGGTTGTCCAAGCTGGTCTCAAACACCTGGCCTCAAGCAGTTCTCCTGCTTCAGCCTCCCAAAGTGCTGGGATTACAGGCTTAAGCAAATGCACTTGAAATAACACAAAATAGACACATTGGTGTCTGTCCGCAGTTTCCAGCACAGAGTTCCCAAAATCCTTGTAAGGTTGACCCTTGAACAACACAGGGTTGAACTGCAAGGGTCAAATTATACTTGGGTAGTTTTCACTAAATATACTAGATTTTTTTTTTTGAGATTTGTGACAATTTGAAAAACTTAGTTACAGGTTACAGTGAGCTATGATCAGGCCACTGCCCCATGCAGCCCAGAAATATCAAAAGCAACAACAAAAAGTTAGATATGTCATGAATGCATAATATACATATAGGTACTAGTTTAGCTACTAGTCTATTTCATCATTTACTACTATGAAATATACACAAATCTATTATAAAAAGTTAAAATGTATCAAAACTTATGCACACAAACAGATTATGCATGGGACCATTTGTAGTTGAGAGAAATGTAAACAAATGTAAAGATGGCGTATTCAATCATAACTGCGTAAAACTCACTGTGTAAGTACTGTAGCACTGTAATATTTTTGTAGCTACCTCCTGTTGCTATTGTGGTCAGCTCAAGTGTTGTGAGTATCTGGTTAAAACACCATGAGAGGCTGACCATCTCCACGTGAGCAATAGATTGCATATTGAAGTAAAAACAATGATCTCTCTCAGTTCTCATTTATTTTCGTGGTGTTTACTGCAATACTGTAAACCTTGAATAACATCATGGAAGCCATACGAAGTGCCATAGTGATGCTGGAAGAGCTCCCAAGGAGTAAAGTCATGTCATTGCAGGAAGAAGTTGAATTGCTCGATATGTATCATAGACTAAGGTTTGCAGCTGAGGTTGCCTGAGTTTCAGACGGATTATTCATCTTGTAAACACATGGTATAAACTTATGGCATTGATAAATACCGTAGAGCACTATAAATGTGTTTTCTCTTATGATTTTCTTAATAATGTTTTCTTTTCTCTAGCTTACTTTATTGTAACAATGCAGTATATAAAACATATATGATATATCTGTTAATCAACTGTTTATGTTATCCATAAGAATTCCGGTCATCAGTAGGCTAGTAGTTAAGTCTTTGGGGAGTCAAAGTTATACACAAATTTTCAACTGTGTTCGAGGCAGGAGTTGGGCCATTGTTGGCACTCCTAACCCTTGCATTGTTCAAGGCTTAATTGTAATTTCCTGAATGATAGAAGTGTGAGGAGAATCTTTTGTTCCAATGTTTAGTCTGTCCTTATCCTGAGATAGCGCTCCTAATATTCTTGTAGATAGAGGTGCTAGGAGAACCTTTTGTTCTAATATTTAGTTTTTGTTCTGACACAGAGCTCCCAAAGCCCTTGGAATTTCCTGGGTGATAGGAGAATCTATTATTCTAGTGAGGCAACTCATGGTGGGCTTCTGGATGGGGCTTATCAACAGAAAGACCAAGCCATGATTGGAAGCTTAGAGCTTTCAGCCCCATGCCTCATTCTCTGGAGAGGAGAAAGGGGCTGGAAATGAAGTTAAAGATCAATCATGCCTGTGTGATGAAGCCTCTGTAAAAATCCCTGAGCTAGACGTCTGTAATCCCAGCCCTTTGGGAGACCGAGGCAGGTGGATCACCTATGATCAGGAGTTTGAGAACAGCCTGGCAAGCATGGTGAAACCCTGTCTCTACTAAAAACAGAAAAATTAGCCGGGCGTGGTGGTGAGTGCCTGTAATCTCAGCTTCTCAGAAGGCTGAGGCATAAGAATTGCTTGAACCCTAGACGTAGAGATTGCAGTGAACAGAGATCGTACCACTGCACTCCAGCCTCGGTGACAGAGTGAGACCCTGTCTCAAAAAAAGAAAAAAAAAAAAAAAAAAAAGAAAAGAAAGCTGAGCTACATGCGAGGTTCAGAGAGCTTTCAGGTTGGAGAACACATCTGCTTTCTGGGAGGGTGGTGCACTTCAACACCACAGGGAGAAGCCGCTGGCCCTCTAGACCTTACCCTACGTATCTCCTCATCTTGTGTTTATCTGTATTCTTTATTACATCTTTTATTAATATACCAGTAAACACAAATAAAGCATTTCCTTGAGTTTTATGAGCTGCTTTAGCAGATTAATCTCATCCAACGAGGGGGTTGAGGGAGCCCCAATATGTAGTCGATGGGTCAAAGCACAGACACAACCTGCACTTGAGACTGGCATCTGAAGAGGGCCAGTCTCATGGGACTGAGCCATCAACCTGTGGGATCTGATGCTATCTCCAGGTAGACAGGACCAGAACTGAATTGAATTAGCAGACCCCCAGCTGGTGTCCACGACAGAGTTGCTTAGTATGTGAGAACATATCTGGTGTTAGTTTCGCGTTGAGCAGTGTGTGAGAGCAGGCAAAACGCCTTGATTTTTTCCTATTACAGGGTCCATTGTGGGAAGCTGCTTCTCCACTCTTAGGCAAGGCAAAGATGCACAAGTTTCTTAGGAGCAAGTGAACCTCCCGGGAGTTGGGCTTTCAGGTATCTTGAAAGAAGCCCACTCAGGAGACCCACCTGCTGGGTAGGAGAGGTTCCCCAGGGAAAGGCCAGCAGGGAGGGGTGAACCACTGGGGACCAGAGAGGGCATGCCACAAAAGACCAGTCAGAGAGTGCATAGTCACATCAAGGAATTCTCTGTGGAGTGCAGAGATCGTCTTGGGGAGGGGGCTCCTCAAAACCCACCCTGGAGACCAAGATAGAATGGATATGTGTGATGGATCCCCCATGTCCAGTCCTCTAAGACTTTGCCCCATCCTCTAATCCACTCTTCCCCACCCCGAACTTGGATGGAAGGTTGCAGCAAAAGAGTGAAAGAACAGACTCGCCCCTCTTCCTAACCACTGGGTGGGCACTGAACTGAGGAGGAATGTGGCTCTTGTGAGACTGAGTTTTGATTGAGACAAATCTGAACCTCTCATGCTTGAAAATGTGACCACAGTTATGACATAGCTCAAAGTGACTGAAAAGTTATGGGACAGCCCCAGCTGTCATCCAGGGGTTGGAAGAGGAGAGCTAACTGACCAGCACTGAAAAACAGTGATGGGGCAGTGATGGGAGAAAAACAAAAAGGAAGCCATGTATGTGCCATGAAGTTCTGCCCATCTAGTAAATCAGTTGCTTTTTTTTTTTGAGACACAGTCTCCCTGCAGCCTCAACCTCCAGGGCTTAGGTGATCCTCCCACTTCAGCATCTCCAGTAGCTGGGACCACAGCACATGCCACTGCACCTGGCTAATTTTTTGTAGAGATGGGATCTCACTGTGTTGCCCAGGCTGATGTCGAGCTCTTGGGCGTGAGCTGGTCCTCCCACTTCAGTCTCTCAAAATGCTGGAATGACAGGTATGAGTCACCATGCCTGGCCATATTTTAAATACATATCCTTATGTATTTAAAAGTATGTATATATAGGAAAATCTAGAGACAGATATGTGCAAGTGCTCCTGTGGTGAACAGACTGTTGATTACCTATAACCTCGAACCACCTTCTACGCTTCCTACAAGAATCTGAATGGTGTTCAGGTTACCACCCAGCTCTGAGGTCACCTTGACTGGGAAAGGCGGGTTAGTCTAAGCCAGGAGTTCTTGAAAGGGACAGCACCGTTCCCTAAATGTGTTCCGGAAATTGGTGGGGCTTTGACACTTTGTGGGGAGGGCCCTTGCTATCATCTTTCAATAAACAGGGTCTAGGAAGGCTAAATACCTTACAATGTGTGAGACGGTTTTTCCTAAGAGGAAATGGCCCCATATCCCACATGACTTTCTGATGTTTCATCTACTTTTATGTAGATGAAAATCATTTTTAAGTCTAAAACTTCCATTTGCTGTATAAGCTCCGAGTGTCTTTTTGCATGTTTTAAAATATGCTCTGAATTTCCTAGGAATTATCCTACCGTATAAATCAAGGGAAAGTGGCACTGCATTTTGTTTGAAACTTTACCTAGAGTTGTTCACCATTTTGGAAAATCATGCAGTCAGTGCAATGGCCTCGTGTTGGGTGAGTCATCTCCAGCGTCTGTCTATGTGTATGGTGGTGCAACCTTGGCATTTCCATGGGCAGCGGCAAGCATCTCACCACTTCATTATGTTCTGTAGAAGCTGCTGCCTGAGCCTTTGCTTATTGTAAGACATGTTCTTTTGTCTTGGATTACTTTTACTTTCTGCTTTATATTACAGCTGAGGCATCATTTTGATTCTTTTGTGAAATGTGTATTTGTCGGTACATTCTGTTATCTTCGAATTTTGTTTCTGAATTGAGGGTAGGTGGTTACAAGAATACAGTCATTGTTTTCAAGAGGGGTAGTTGGTCTGATAGCATTGAAGGGCTCTGCTTGCCCCAAGACATCCAAAGGGGTCCCTTTTCCTTGCCAGTGATTGGCTCAGGCAGGGACATGTGACGTCAATCTGGCCAGTGGGCTAAGTCTGCAGGAGGGCTTTGGGGAAAAGATTTTTCTGCTAAAAATTGGAAGGAAGAGGTGGCTTCGTTCTGCCTCTGGGCACTGTCTTATTTTGATCATGTGCCTGACTCTTGCAGCAATGAGGTTAGGAAGCCCAAGGACAAAGTTCGCAAGCCGAAGGGTAGAAGGGAACCGGGCACTGGGCATATTGTTGAGCTGCTAAATAAACAACCCTAGTGTCACCCTCATTTGCATTTAATCTACATGTAAATCAGTAGATCTGAGTAATTCAGAGAGGTGGGATTATAACTGAGTGTCAGTCATTTTGTTTTTATTGTTAAAATTTGCCTCTTCAGACAAAACAGACAAAACCAAAATCCTTTCTAAAGGAAAAAAGTAATAATGGACGCGACAGAAAATTAAAACACTACGAAATATGTTTGTAATGAAGTCGGTCAACTTCTACCAGTCGCCAATCTGTTTCCCGGAGGCAACAAATGTTACTAGTTCCTTGTGAGTTCTTCCAGAAATAGTCTATGCATACACGTGCATATGGATATATTACATACATACATATGTACTCACGTGAGCGCACATACAAATGCTTCATTTTCAAATGTACCATTATATATCGTGGGTTCTTCCTTGCTTTTCTTTTTTTTTTTCTTGTCAAGTGAGTATAGAGTTAGGAAGATAAATCTGTCCTATATAAAGAATAATTAGAGGCCAGGTGCGCGGTGGCTCACTCCTGTAATCCCAGCAGCCTGGAGGCTGAGGCAGGCAGATTACCTGAGGTCAGGCGTTCGCAACCAGCCTGGCCAACATGGTGAAACCCTGTCTCTACTAAAAATAAAAAATTTGGCCTGATGTGGTGGCGCCTGTAATCCCAGCCACTTGGGAGGCTGAGGCAGGAGAACTGCTTGAACCCAGGAGGCAGAGATTGCAGTGAGCTGAGCACTCCAACCTGGGTGACAGAGTGAGACTCTATATAAAAAAAAAGAAAAGAAAAGAATAATTAGAGAAGTCATCTTCTTGGTATGATAAAGTAGAAAATTCACTGTATAAATAATTATTTTTAACCCATTTTGACCTTTGTTTATTTTCTTATTATAGTTTTACTTTTAAAACCTAAGTGTGGAACACTCAAGAAATGTGTGTGACCTGGTGCCTGAGAGAGGGCACCTCAGTTGCCAAACAACAGGTATAGTACAATCTCCCTTTCAAAACTTATTGCACCAAATATTAATGTACTTTAAAGAACACACACCAGGCTGGGTGTGGTGGCTCATGCCTATAATCCCAGCACTTTGGAAGGCTGTGGTGGGCGGATCATGTGGTCAAGAGATCGAGACCATCCTGGCCAACATGGTAAAACCCTGTCTCTACTAAAAATACAAAAATTAGCTTGTGTGGTAGCATGCACCTGTAGTCCCAGCTATTCGGGAGGCTGAGGCAGGAGGATCTCTTGAATCTGGAAGGTGGAGGTTGCAGTGAGCTGAGATTGTACCACTGCACTCCAGCCTGGCAACAGAGCAAGACTCCGTCTCAAAGAAAAAAAGAAAAAAAGAATACACACGAAATTATCATTTAAACATTTTTTTTCATTCCTCTTTTTAAAATTTCCAGTTCTTTTTTCTATTAGAAACTGGGCCTCACAGTGTTGCTTAGGTTGGTCTTGACCTCCTGTCCTCAAGGGATCCTCCCACCTTAGCCTCTCTAAGTGCCAGGATTACAGGCCTGAGCCACCGCTCCTGAGACAAAAGTTATTAACGATGATCCCCACTGAGGCTTGTAAGGGGAAGAAGTATTTGGGGGAACATTTAACGCCATACCCTGTGTCTTATTTAAACATTTCGGAAACAAATATGTATTAATTTTATGATATCTACTGATATCATTCTGGGGGATGAAAGACAAGCCATTTGTTGGTCTTTTCCCTAGAGTGCAGAATACTGAGTGACCGGATGTGCGTGGGAGCTGTGGGTGTAACACAAGCGTGTGTAAGTGTGTGTCACAGGGAGCTGGGTGGGTGGTTGTTAATTCTACTCCTGCGTGAGTGGCTCCCCCAGTGCCCTCTTGTCTCCTTTCTTCCCCTCGGTGCTTTCCTCTTGAGCTCCCTTCCTCTTTGCAGTCTTTCTCTTGTAGATAGTAAGTGACAGAGGTGACAGGTTGGAGGGGGATGGTGAGTCTTAGCCCATTCAGGGCTCTGCTGCCTACTTCCAGCTCTGGGCAGATAGGAACATGGCCGCAAGAGGCACATGGAAATTCCACAGAGTGCCCTCGCCATCCCTGGCCAGCTCCCAGAGCCACAAAGGAGGTCCTGGCTGCTCTGCTGAGTGCCCAGGCTCCCGGCTTGCAGTGCGTATACTCCAGAGCACCTGCTGCCATGGAGGCTGTGTCCAGAGCCTGGGCTCTGGGTAACTGCTGTGGACGGTCCACTTCCCTGGGGCAGGGCAGGAGCAGCGCCCGGCCCAGCCAATGCAGGGCCAAAGCCCTCAAGATTTGCTACGTTGAGCATTGAGCTCAGAGCTGACAGATGGAGTCAGATGGGCAAACTAATTATATTTTTCATTTTTTTTTTCTTGGACATTTGTGAGTCTGCAGGAGCTTAATTTATGTATTAATTACACCTCAGAGCTAAATGAGGGGGCTGGAGTGCCTTCACCAGCCTTTGCATTTTATTAGGAAACATTGCACACACACTTGCCTTCCCAAGGAAACAGCTACTAAAGCTTCCCTCCCAGGAGCTCTGTGGGCTTGGAGGAAACAGAACTCTTCAGCCACTTAGGTGGGGGCTCAGGTGGAACACTTCAGGCTAGGCTTCAGTTCAGCTTGTGGTCTGACATTAGAACCTTCAGATTTATCTTGCACCCCTCACCCACAGCAGCTAAAGGGAAGCAGTCCCCTCACTGCACCCCCAAAGCCCAGCCCCCTCAATTGCTGCTTGAGCTTCCCCTGATCAGCTGTGGCGTGGTTGTGTTGCATTGAGCTGCTGTGTCCAGGCCTAAGTCCAGCAGCAAGGAAGGGAGTGACTCCCAGTTGAGTCCCCCATCTGTGAGCCAGGAAACTGAGGACAGGCCTCACTCAGGTAGGTGGATGGAGAGAAGGTCTGGCTTTCTCTCTTGAGCCTGGACCTGGCGGGGTCTGGTAGTTTTGGTGTGGAACTCGGCCAGTGCCCAGGATGCTGGGTGGGCCAGGCAGGACCTTTGCAAAGGCTAAGAAGTTGGTGGGAAGAAAGCCACTCTGTGTGAGCCAGACCCTAGAACCTAGGGCTCCTTAATCCCGGTTTTCTTGTCCTCTAGTTCTTTATGAAATCTTGTCAACTGCTGTGCTGCTGGTCTGTGTTGTAGGGGTGGGAAAGGGGAGAAAGTATCTGCTGTCTATTGTTTGGCCAGTTTTCCTGAGGGAAGCATCACCCAAGGCCTCAGGCTGGGGGTTGTTGCTGTTGGAAACAGATGCTTGGTGCCACAAAGAAAAATTAGCACTGAGACAAAGGATCTCTCAGCAAGGCAATTTTTACTTCCTGCAGGAAGGTACCTTTGCCAGCCATCTTGACATGAGAGTATAGCGAATACAGGAAAAGCAGACATATTTATCCCTTATGCATTTCGGGTTGTCCTTACTGCTGTGTCTGATCTCCATTGCTTGGAGCCAGACCTCACAATTTAAATTAAAACCTAATTGGTCAATAACTTAAAACTTTCCTAAACAGGTAAAAGCAATGGAGAAGTCTACATAAGGAAGGGGCATGGGCTGTGAGCTGGGACATGCCTGTGAGCACGTCTAGCACAGATATCTTGGTTAAAGTAAAGAATATACCATGTGTCTGTAAGCATGTCTAACAGCTACTTAGGATGGGCTTCACAGAGAGTTATTAGCAAAAAGCAAGAAGGATTTATTCTTTAACAAGAAAGAAAACGTTGAAGAGAAACTTTTCTACTTCCCACATTGCTATCATGGTGATCACCAGAGGAAAGGATGGGGGGAAGGCCTTGGGGTGGGGCAGCACCCTCCCCTCCCTGAGCAGGCCTGAGAGTCCATATCTAAAGGAAGCACTTCTTTAAAAGGGCTCGGAAAAGGCCCCCGGTCTCTCTAGTGCCTAAAGGCTGGCAGACAGCTGCCTGGCAACAGTGGCCATCTAACTGGTATGCTGGCCACTGGGCTGATGGTGGGCCTTCCTTCTGCACCCGGTTGGAAGGGTCATTACAGTGTAAGCCTGCCTTGCACAGCAGGTGGAGGCTGGTCAACATTGTCACACTGAGAAGTGACTCACAGTGGTGAGTTCAGGGGAGTGTTGATATTTGTGAGCACCTTGGGAAAGAGGAAAGAACACGGGCACATCCACTGAATGTGATCCTTCTCGGGGCAGGTATTTTTGCCTGCTTTGTTCACTATTCTTTTTTTTCTTTGACACGGAGTTTTGATCTTGTTGCCCAGGCTAGAGTGCAGTGGGACGATCTCAGCTCACTGCAACCTCCGCCTTCTGGGTTCAAGCGATGCTCCTGCCTCAGCCTCCTGAGTAGCTGGGATTATAGGCACCTGCTGCCACACCCAGTAAGTTTTTGTATTTTTAGCAGAGACAGGGTTTCACCATGTTGGCCACACTGGTCTCGAACTCCTGACCTCAGGGGACCTGCCCACCTCAGCTTCCCAGGGTGCTGGGATTACGGGAGTGAGCCACCACCCCAGCCTGTTCACTTTATTCTGAGAACCCAACACCCGACACATAGCAGGTGGTCGTAATGAGCCAGTAGGAGGTGATCTGAGGAAAGCTGGCTATCCCAAGTCATCTTTGGGGCAAAGCTGACAGACAGGTGACCAGTGAGTCTCAGGGGTGTCTTAGCATATTTTGTGATTCTGTAACAGAGTCCTGCAGGCTGAGTCATTTATGAAAAAATAAGTTCATTTGTCTCATGGTTCTGGAGGTCGGGAAGTCCATGACTGGAGGGCCATATCTGGTGGAGCCTGACATGAGGGGAAGGGAGAAAGGGGAGGGGGCCACATTCAATTTTATAACATGCCCACTCTCATGATAATGAGCCCACTCCTCTGATGAGGACAAATCCATTCGAGAGGGCAAAGCCCTCATGACCTAAGTACCTCTTAATGGTCCCCCCTCTCAACACTGTTACACTGGGGGTCTTTGGGAGACTCCTTCAAACCGTAGCAAAGACACTTTTGTGCCTGTCCAAAGTCACATAGCTCATTAGAGGCTAGGTAGGGCCAGAGTCTCAGGTAGGAATAATAGCCAAACTACCATTCATGCCCTAACCAATCTGTGTTGTGAGGGCCCTGAGGCTAGCATGTTCATGGCTGCAGCCTCCAACCAGCTGAGCTAATTGACAAGAAATCTGCTCTGCCTGGTGCTGTGGGAGATGCTCAGATTTTCTGTGCTCCTAAGATGACCCAAAGGATGGACATGCTTGTTAGTGGGATTCCATCCCCTCGGTGAAGTTTTTGGTTCTTGCTTTTAATAATGGAGCAAGAGAAGCCAGTGGGAAGTCTGGTGACAAGGGAATGACCACCACGTGGGCACTGGCAGGCTTGGGGTGAGGGGCTCAGCTTCCTGGTGTAGCCCACGGCAAGCTCACTCTGCGAGGGGCTTGGAGTCTTGTGGATTTCATTCCTGCCGTTCCATCTGCTGTGCCTGCTACCGGCTGCCTTGCCAGCCTGTCTGTGCAGGAAGTGTGGAAATAAGTTAGAACCCTTGCACAGGGAGGCTCTTTTGTGTTCACCTAGTCATCAGCCCTCCTTGTATCTACTTGACTGAAGTCCAAAAGCCCAGCCAGATGTTACCGTGGGGCCAGGCAGGAGTTCATGCTGCTGGATTCATCCTGGAATCAGGTATTTGATCAGTTTCCACCTGGGGCAGGAGAAGGAGCCAGCTGTTGCCCTCTCAGGAAGCAGTGGGTCCTGATGCGCTTCCCTGGAGGGCCCTTGGCTTGCAGGCACCTGGTATCTCCCATCATCTCTCTGGAGCCTCAGGCCAGCCTTCCCAAGATGGCTAAGATGGGATGCAGGGAGCCTGAGTGATCTTCCCGGAGAGGCGGCCAGCATGCTTGACAGTTAGCGCTCTGGATCGAGGCTGTCCGCATGCATTTGTCTCGTCCTTTCGTATTCAGCCAGCCCTGAGACAAGACTAACCTTTCCTGACAGAATCAGTTCAGTCTTGTCCTCTGAGCAGGACCCGGGGTGGGCAGG